TACAGCCTCAGGGTGAGGGTATTTCACTAGAAGAAAACTCAGACTGCCTTTTCCTAACAAGATACAGTAACTTTTGCATGTATTGTATTGAAGAAGAATAAAATTGTTAATCAAAACTCATTGTTAAACAGCTTTAAGCCAGAATGAACACAGGGCTGTTAATCTATATGTTAATAAGCATTCACCACAAAAAATGTTTTACCTCTTAAACCAATAATAGAAAGGTATGTAAACCCTGCTAAAAAGATCACACAAATAATTGAGTTACCACTCAGCCCAGCTCTGAAGTGGAAACCCCTGGTGCAGCAGGATGGCTGAACATGACAATTTTTTAAACCTCCTCCTGAGTCTTGCCTGACCACTGGTTTGATTTTTTTCTTGCAAACAAAATAGACTCAGTTAAAAGCTACACTGTGTACAAAGAGAAAAAACACACTGTATTCTATCTTAGTATAACCATTTTCCAACTTACTTTGCGTAATACACTAAAATGGCATTAAAAGAACGTGCTGACAGAACAAAGATTTGTTATGAAGTTTACAAGCATCTGTTGTGAAGCACACACTGGCTTTGGTAGGCGAGCCTGGATACAATTGTACTTTCATTTCTTCCAAGAATATCACAGTCTAATCTTCCCCATTTTTGTAACAGAATGAATGAGGTCATTAATTACATTCCTGGCCCTCCAGTACTACTTAAAACATGTCAACATTTTGCAAAATTTAAGCAAAATCCACCTGCTCAGGTGCAAGTTTAATTAAAGTTGTACATAACTCTGGTATTCAGTTTGCTTGAATTGTTTTTGTCATCTTTATCCAAAATCAGCCTCCAGTGAGAAAGAAATCCACCTACTTTTTTTTTTTTAAACTTGAGCTTCATTAATTATTGACTTTTTTTTTAATTCCTCTTCATTCCCAACAGGAAATGAGAAAGATAATTTTCCAACTTCAGGCGTTCTAGCAGCAGTTGGTATACTACTTTATTTTCAAACACAGGTTGAGCAGGTTTAGAATGGGAAGCTCACAGGAAGGTAGTTTCTTATTTGAGACTCAGGTCATAGAAGGACCTGCTAATTCTTATCAGGCAATTGCATAATGGACTTCAGTCTTAATTGAAACTGCCAAGTAAGATTAGACTTCACACTTAGGCATAGAAGGCAATACAGTGATCAGAACAGATTTCATGAGCTAGAATGGAGGGTATTTTTTTACATGGAAATACTGCTGCTGATCTGAGGAAAAATCACTACTACAAAAAAAGTACTTTCTGCAACTAGGCTTTCTACTTTAGAGTCCATCTTGACATTGCTAGGGGCAGCCTCCTCCATAAACTGGCCACGTTGCTAAGAGCAGGAATACAATTTACTTAGTTTTTCACTTTTTTTTCCTCCTACTTCGAAAGTGCGAATTTTTCACAGGGTGTTCAATACAGATGAGTATTTGATATGTGGAACACTTTGGAGTGTCGGGGTTTTTTGTGTTTGGGTTTTCTTTGTGGGTTTTTGTTGTTTTTTTGGTTTTGTTTTTTTTTTTTTTTTAAACTCACTGACCAGGTCCCTCATGGGACCGGCTTGACTTTAGGATTGATAACGCAGCCCTTCCAGAAGGCCTTTGTGTTTTTGCACTCCTCATTTCTAACTCACCATAACAAGCTAGTTCAGTGATAGGGAACAACCCCAGTAACACAAGTATTGAACTTATATAAAAACCAAACTTACATCGTACCAAGGGTAGATCACAAATTTTCAGGCAAGATCAGAAACCATATTCTTGTCATGGGATCTTTGAAGACCAGAATCGTTTGCAGTGCTTTCAGATTACTCTGTGGTTATACCTTGTTCTTTGTCTTCAGCAGTTCCATTCCCATCAGTAACTTTTTTTTCCTAAGTAACTGTAGGTACATTCTGCTTTAGACTTAGTCACATTTTTCCATCAGTGACTTCAACTTAGTCTGTCTACAACCATTGTAATCCTTATTTTCCCACTGCAAGTAGGGCAGCTGAGAGAACAGTGCCATCAGTAATGTCTCCTGCAAATCCAATCCAAATGTCAGCCAGAGTCATTGCTCTATTTGACAGACTGAAGCAGATCCATATGCTTGCAGATGTTACCTGACCCTAGACTGTCATGGCCTTTCCTCCCACGGAAACTTCTATTAAAAAAAGAAAAAAAAAGATGAGGCTTGCATTCTTCAAGGTTTAACATTCATAATTAAAGCAAAACCACGCTGCTGAGAACCTGGTTTCAGCACCAGTGTGACCTTGGGAGGCAAAGGCTGTGAAGGATCCTTCACATTCCAGTTACAAGCTGATAACTCTTCCCTCTGACTCAGCAAAGCACAATCAACAGCTCCCCAAATAGCCTTGTGCAGTTAAAAAAAAAATACCTGAGGTGACAATCTGCTTTGTTACAGGGATGTAGATTTTTTTTACAAGAAACCAGAAGGAAGTTGTCTCACACAAGATTTTGTTTGGAGTTCTAGGATGAGACAGAGACATACCCTAGTTTCCCAAATTACTCTCTCCAGGAACAATTCCTTTGTAAGCAGACCCTCCTAACAGCAGCAGCCTCCAGAAAGCGTATGATGTCTGACACTTTGGGCAGCGCCTCAGCTGGGTAGGCCTTGGAAAATGCCTAGCTGGCACTCAGAAAGCAAGAGGCATTGCTCCTTGTATTGCTGAACCCTGGTGGCAAATACCTCTGAAGGATCCCACTGAAGAACCAAGTTGCGGGTGGTCAAATCCAAATCCAAACACAGGACACTGACCATAGCACAGGGACGGAGCCCTGAGAAGTGTCAGAACACGTGACATACGGGCGACTTGTAAGAAATACAAAATCCAAGGATCTCCATAGTTATCAACATGGCATCAAGACAAATGAGCAACAGTTTACAAATTTGACCTAGTATTTTAAGTTGTTGTAAGTATTTTAAGCTCCAAAGGCATGCTGTCTGTCAGGGATACTGCCTGAAAGGTATTTACTGCTACAGGCTATCAGAGAAAAAGTGGAATTGTAACAGAAACCAAACAGACAGCGATTCTTAGAATCACAGAATCTTTAAGGTTGGAAAAGACCTCTAAGATGATCAAATCCAACCGTCAACCCAATACCATCATGTCTACTAAACCATGTCCTGAAGTGCCATATTTACATCCTGGTGCACTTCAGAGAGATCAAAGCAGCACTGACAGCTACAGTGAACAGAAAAGGAAAAAAAAAAAAGGCATTAAAAAATATTTTAAGGTAAAGACAGAAAAATACTTTGTTTTTAATTCTGAACACAGCCCAGAAAGCAACATTTTGTACTTGGGAAAAGATAGGGATTATAAATGAAGCAGAATGTATTTGCATTTCAAGTGACAAACACAGTTTAAAAATCAAAATATTTTAATAACCAGTAATTGGGAATTGTCTCCCTACTTGCTTGCTACATTTTGCACTAGCAACTACTCTAGGGATGAAAGCCAGCTTAACAGTTTGTGTGTGTTTTCTGCCTTGCAATATACAAAGGTACATACCCTTATTCTGTAATTCCAGCAATATAGATACACGGCTGCAAATAAAATCTTAACATCTTTTGACTATTTAAAGTCCAGTGCTGCCACACCATACTATGCAAACAAATTATCCCATGGAGTTACAGAAAGCTAGCACACTGGAAACGTTACCTCATTCCACAGTTTATACAGACTTACACACTTAAACTGCTAGCTTAAAAAGATTACACAAGTAATTCAGTAAAAATGGTCATATCTTTATGTGATAAATAGTGTTGTTTAAAGCTGGCTATAGATTAAGCTCTTGGACCATCAGCAAATATGCAATCCCAGAAATACAAGTCACTTAAACGGCATTCACACTTAATGAGAATACATTTTTCATCCAGATGAAAATAAATGTATGTTCAAGAACAAAATAAAATCTCTTATTAAATGGTTTGCAGATTTATTAGAACTTTAATATACTCAATATTTTATCAAGCTAGTTGCATATAAAGGGATCTCCACCATATACATTACAATTTCTGTGCATCATCTAAAAAAAAAAGTCACCACAAAGTAGTATTTCACAGATTACAGTTAACTTAATTAACCTAAAAGTGAACCCTTCTGTAATTTAAGACACTAACCCGCACGTTGCTTCTAACTGTAATATTTAAATTGGTTTCACAGCAAGCTCAACCTGCATTTCAATGAAAAGAGGTTACTGCCATCTCAACTTTTGAATTTCTCTCCTAACACTGGAAAAATTTCATGTGGTGTTTACTCCAAATAAGGATAAAGCATATGACAATTCCTTTACAAAGCTTGCTCAGAACATGTATGCCTCAAGAAAATTAGGAAACTCCTCCAGTAAAAGGAATTCACCCAAATTTGTGAATGGAAAAAACATTTTACATTGTTCTTGATTAACGCTTGGAGCTGCTCATAAAAAGCAAAACCAGCAAGCACAATAGGTAAAACTAGTATTGGATATGACTTAAAGCAAAGAAAATTAGGAAAAAGCAGATTCTACCTGCAACAAATGTTTCCCAATTTAGAAGAAACTTTAAAAGGGACTCACGCAGATAATCAACAAATAGGTTTTCTGATATCTTCATAGGATGCTAGTTTACTGGCCAGGCACATACATTGTAAATATACAAAGAATCCAGAGCACTGAAATTTACACAGCACTTAAAGGATTTAACCTAACAGAGGTGGGTAGGACACAGGAAAAATATTTAACAACTTATATAAATATATTAAAATCTCAGCAAGAAATGTAAGAGCCCATGCACACAAGACAGTAAATTGAAAAAACATTTAAGACTTGACTTTTCCTTTCAACAGCACTGACACCTGAATTCCGGAAAGTTAACCATTTACATTATCTTATAGCAGTCTTTCTCCACACAATCTCTATGTACTGAATCATACAGACATTACACAGCACATGAACAAGCAGCAGATGCATCAAGGGAACAGGAGCTATATGCATCGTGTGGCCTGCCCAGTTAGAGGCAAGTATCAGAAAAATTGTTTCTGACATCGGCAGAGATACAATCAATATAGCTAATTGTATACCCGTCATTTTCAAGAGTTAATCCACAGTACGGGAAAGGGGAGCTTTAGATAAAAATTGAGTACCCAGTCTCAGAAGTGACAGAAGCAGAGACTTATCTTTCAAAAACTGGGTCCGTTCTGGACTGGCCTTGATGCACATGCAGTACATTTGTTGTCAGAATGCAAGATTAATTGGGAATGTCTGCACTAGTGTTTCGATTTCCATATTTGTGATGGATGATCAGCAATACAACTCCTAAGAAGAAGCATATGGACCCAACAGTGATGTAAGCAATTCCCAGAAAAGGATTTTTGCCTCCCATCCACGAGATGGTGCTCAGGATCATTCTTTTTCGTCCATCAAAACTGTGTACAGGATAATCTGAAAAACATTTAGGAAAACAAGAAGCACGTTTCCAAATCTAGCTGGATGTGGTCAGGCACATTAAGATTTTGAGTCATTTCACTCAGGTTCCAAATACAAACTGCTGCCTTCAAATACTGAAAGTGCAAATACGAACATTTAGCCGTTCTTTCAGGCTAAGACTAATTTGAGCACTGTCAGCTACTCCAAGAAAAATGCCACATTAGGAGATGTTAACTCCTTTTTAAGGGAAGAGTAAATGCACTGTTTTGTGGGTTCTTGAAAGAAGCTTCACTAAAATGAGGGAAATCAAGTTTTAGTTCCCAGATATTTTTTAGTACAAAATTTTTCTTTATGTTGATTCATTTTTATATGCACTCCTCAGTTTTGCAGCAAAGGAAGATACTGCAGTAGCTATTTAAAAATGATCATTAAGTGTTTTCAAATTTTAAGAATTCGGTAACTATGACAACCCTCCTCCTCTAATCTCCTGTATTTCTACCTAGTCTTTAGTTTGTCCAAAATAGAATGACAAACCTCCACTTGATCCACAGATCTGACATTTTTTCTGACCTCCAAAGTCAGTCTGCCCTTGATTGCACATTGTCATTACACCTTGAAGTTCTCAAATTTCTAGGCTGCCAACTACCTCTGTTCTTTCCTTTTTCCTATGCTCTCCCAATTCCTTTACAACACCCAAGCAATCCACTATTCCCTCTCACTATGAAGCCACTAATTCTATAAAAACTTGCACAGAAGTAAAAGATGGTAATATTCTACCCAATTCTCACTATTAGTTTTCAACCGCAGCTCAATACCGTAATTTTTCAGAGCTGGTAAGAAAAAAGGCTAGTTCAATTTGAACTTGCACAAATACATGCCCATGTAATCCAGCTAAGGCCCTTAGCTGCTTTCAAAGGATACTGTATGCAATATCCAAAGAGTATTTTCCAGCCTGTAAGGTAGGCTGTAAGTTATTCTTCCTTTCAATGAGACGATACAGCTTGCGAAAGGTTGGCAGAGCAGCAGTACGCATCCACACAATGAAGTCTTCATTGATAAAGCCATTGTTGTCAGGCTCTGAGTCCAGCATATATACTGGCTTGGGCCAGTTTACAGGTTTTGTTGTGCCTAGGATTAAACAAAAATAACAACAACAAAGTATTTCAAACACAGGACTAAGTAACACACTGGCTCATCAAAATTCTTTCTAATATTACAAAAAAACCCATATTAACTTCTAAACAGTATGAACAGACAGGGTGGCTCACTACTACTGCAAGACACTGGGCTGTTTAAGAACCTTTTATTTTGCAGCTTAAATTGTAGTGCATATCCATGTATTCTCATGACAGCACTGTCCATTTGTTTAAACAAATTTGTCTCCCCTACATATTTATATAAAGTATTGTCTCAAAACATTACTCTACCTTAGTGACATAGTTCTCCATTATGATGATTGCTCCTCTGCTCACTTGTTAAGAGTTTGACTACCACTTCCTGGACCATGAGCAAATAAAATTACGTACAATATTTTAGATGATGCCATACGAATGTTTTTGCTTGTTTTATTGGAAATACAATTCTATACTCTATCAGGGTAAGGTATCTGCTTTTCCAAGGGTAGCATCACATCGGTAACACGTAATTTGGCTGTGACTAGGCAAGAAACTCACATCAGGTTAAACCTGAAATTATTACATACCTTGCATAAGCACACACACACCCCTTAAAGCCCTGAGGAAGATTATTCTCAGACATTGGTAGCCAAAGAAAACTTTGATTAACCAAATTGTATTTAACCTAACAAGTGACAGACATCAGTCACTTCTAATCACAAAAAATAATCAGGTTTTTCAAAAACTTTGCACAATCTAGCAGTAGAAATATTTAAACGAAAACTCCGTGTGAGAGTTTCATTAAACAACTGCGTGATTTCTTTTCAAGTTAAATCCAAGCATTAGGGCAGTTGTACTGGTTTTGGCTGGGGTAGAGTTAATTTTCTTCATAGTAGCTAGTATAAGGCTACGTTTTGGATTTGTGCTGGAAAGCGTTGATAATATAGAGATGTTTTCATTACTGCTGAGCAGTGCTTACACAGAGCCAAGGCCTTTGCTGCTTCTCACCCCACCCCACCAGCGAGGACGCTGGGGGTGCACAAGGAGCTGGGAGGGGACACAGCTGGGACAGCTGACCCCAACTGACCAAAGGGATATCCCATACCATATGATGTCATGCTCAGCAATAAAGCTGGGCAGGTAGAGGTAAGCAGGGGCTGCCATTGCTCAGGGACTCAGTTGATGATGAGCAATCATTTTCTTTTGCATCACTTGTTTCTCTTGTGTTTTATTTTCCTCTCTCTTTGTCAGGGGAAAAAAAACAAACAACAAACCAAACCGAGCAATGTGGGGTTTTTTTATTATTAAACTGTCTTTATCTCAACCCACAAGTTTTCTCACTTTTACCCTTCCAATTCTCCCACACACCCCACTGCAGGGGAGCGACTGTGTGGTGCTCAGTTGCCAGCTGGGGTTAAACCATGTCAGCAGTGCACATAGTTGATTCTTCTCAATATTCAAGGTGGGGGGAAAAAATCAGAAATAAAAAAAATAAAAATTAATGATTACAATAAAGGTAAAACCCAAACACTTTCATGTGAAATTTGCAACTGTCATAATTTAAAGTCAACCTTTCTAGCTAGCAGAGTAGTCCTTAGCTTGGATTTCTTCAGAGCACCACAATATTTTTTAATTAGGACATTCAGTAAAATGTTGTCAGTGAGGTAAAACTCACTGGAATCAAAATATGTTTGAAGTGTTTTGTCATTCTTAAAATTTCACTTTTTTTTTTTTACCTTGGAAGAGTGCAGTTAAGTTATTTCCATCTCCTGTAGGATTCCTGAACTTTACATTTTTATCTGTCCACCATGCAATGCCTTTTTTAATCAAAGTAATAGGAATCCTTGTGTCATTGTCAATGCGGTATAATTTCAATGTATCTAAGGAGAAAATCAAATTAGAAAAACAGCTGAAGAAACTTTCATTAGACAGATGATCCTGCCAGGCAATGAAACAATTACCTCCAGGAGAAACAAAAAACAAACCTGGACAAGGCATTTATTACCTGCCTGCCACAATCACATGCTGTTCTGTAAGAATCAATGTATATTAGATAGCAGCGTATTATCCATATATGATACCTCTGTTTCTACTCCACGGGAGTAACAGCTTCTCACAAGCATTTCCATCCTTTGTATGCCATCAGATTAAATTAATTCTGATAGCAATTTTGAAAACAGCAACAGCAGTACAATACAAGATATTTATTTTATTCTGAACAATGAAAATGTATTGCAAATTATTCTGAGTAAAGACATCACGGGCCTTTCTTTCTGGAATTAATGCAACCCAAAACACACACTGGATCACAAAAACATTAAGCGATAACTTAAAACTGTGGTACCATACCATTAAACATGCTGTTGGCAATAGCTCCACAAGGAGCAATGGGTTTGTCTTCATTTGTGCGGTAAGGCTCACATTCCTTACTTGGATTCTGATAGTTAGAAAGAAAAAAGGCAGATGAGTCTGTGCTAGTTTATCCAACTAACCTGTTTAAGTACAGTACCTCAATATTGTGTATGTCTTAAATGTACCACAAAATAATCTTTTCACAAGTCAGGTTATTTACAAAGACTTCAGCATTCAACACTAGTTAGTTTATTTTACAAGCAGGAATAAAATCTAAATAAAACATGAATAAAGTCAGAATCACATCATGGCCATATTAAAATAACGCTTTTCTTGGAAGCTATTAGAACTTCTTTCCTTTTCTTGTTTAATAGAAACAATTTCCCAACAGGAAATACTCAAGTATTCTTTTATTAAAGGGGCTTTTTAAGTAGCATCAGTGTTATAGAAAATAAGACTGTAACAAGAAACCAAGCATAACATAAAAAAGCGAAAGGTTACAAGGACTCCAACAGCATGCCAAAAATGCAAGCAGAAAAAGTCCCCCGCCAAAACCCCTGTGTCAGTCATCAGATGTAACCTCCTGAAACTCCCCTTTTTTTAAAGTTTACAGATAAAAAGGAGACTCCTTCTTGCTGGAGCAAGAACCCAACCCTATTTCCACTCCTCAAAGCAGAAGAGGATGTCTGGCCCTAAACATTACACAGTACCTTGAACAGAATACACAGTACCTATATTTTCCAATATTGCTAATGTTCAATATTGAACCAGTCTACAAAAATGGATGCATTTAGCTGCAACATCCAAACCAAGTGCTAGGCAACCAAATATTATTTTATACTGAAAACGAAAACTTCAGACAGAATGGATACAGATAGATACTACTGACTGAAGATAGCAAGACAGTTTAAAACTATTCAAATTTGAGAAGTGATTGAAGTATTGCATTGCTGTCCACTTAATGAAATTATTGACATGAAATTTTATGGTATGGTACAGTTATTTCTGTGAACAAAATATGAATTCCTTATGGTTGTCTTCTGTTATGCAAAAAAGTCTAGTACCTCATTATTATTAAATTTTCTGCTATGTGGCAATCTATGCAATAGTCAGAAGTTAGTTGCTTATTAATATCCAAGCTTGAATACCTACAAGTAGTGAACTGTTGTCTCCGTTTAGCTGGCTATCATCTCGAGATTTCACATAACGACGATGGTTTTGATAGAAGTTGGAAAGTCCATAATACATGAATACATTACTCTACAAGAAGCAAGATGGAACAAGACAGGTTTTCATTCACACAAAGCTTAAATTTTAACCTCTTGAACTCTGTGTTTATTTTACAGCAACATTCATAAAGTAGGAGGCTCAATCCTTTCTTCACACTGAGTATGTAAGAGTACTATCCTAACATAAGCTGGCATCCTGAAGGCAAACAGTATAAACATGCTATTAACTATCAGAATGATACTCATCAGCACTACTTCAAACACCTATCTTGTTCGATGTTAAGCACATAATTCTCATTATTTGCCTCCAACTTGTCAGAAAGCACGCATCTGGTATTTCCAATTCTTGTTGAACTGAGTTTTTGCAAATGATGCAGGTATAGTCGATCTACTCACCAGCTATAAGACACATACAATAAACCTAAATGTGTAAAACACAAGCATTCCATTTAATGTGGTACATTTCCAGATAAAGAGAGGCATCAAAACCCATCTCATCCCTGCTACTGAAAAGGCACACAAAAATCAGATCCAAGTTCATAGGAAAACTAGAACTAATCCTTCTTAAAAAAAAAAAACAAACCCAAACTTAAGTGATAGAGCTTTCCTATCAATCATGAAATAAATCTTATAAATTGTTCTAATTTCACTTTGCATAGAGGGTAACATACCTCAAATGAATGTTCCAGTGTAAAATTGATGGTGCAAGTACAAGGTGGTGTGCTGTCCCAGGACACATTTAAACATTTGTTGCAGGGACTAGAAGGCTCTGTTCCTGTATAGTCAATCTACAACAACAACAAAAAAAGCCAGTAATTTAAAATGGGAGAATAAAGAAAATTGATTAATAAGCCAGAGAGAGTTGACAGGGCCTTTATTTTGCCATAGTATTGCACCTCAACTCCAAAAGCCCATTCAGGGCTGTCTGATATCTCAAGAGGTCCCTTCCAACCTAAACGATTTTGTAATTCTGTCTACATGCTTGATTTCAGCCTCAAAGTTAACACTGACGTGAGCCATTACGGCTGGGGGGAAAACAAAACAAAACTAAACCAAAACAAACAAAACAGAAAACACATACCAAAACATAAACAGCAGATACTCCAGAAACATGATGTTTCTAAACGCACACATGCTATACAATGCGCAGATCTGAGTTTTTACATGCTTTCCAGACGGGTGAAACTCTAGATATTTACTAAAAAAAGGTCTGCATTAGAAAACTTGCTTTGCTGACCAATTTTTTTTTTTAAATCACTTAATGCCCAAGAACTCTCCTGAAATAGGGAAAATGAAGACATTTCTACCATTTTGCCAGGAATGGTAAAATACCAGTAGATGGACAAAACAGATGATCAGTGTTAATCTGGCTTATGCAGTATTATCTGTCTTCAACAGTGTAGCTCAAAAAACCCCAGTATTTGAAATCTATACATACAGGCTACCTGGACAGTATGCATAACATAATCCCAAGCAGCCAGAAGCTGACCATACAGCCCAAGCCACCTTGAAGTTGCTTGATCGCAATAGCTCTCCCTCATGTGTAGCTCCAGCAAGTGAACAGCAAGAAATAATTTACTTGGGCTCCACAGGCTAGCTCCAAGCTTAGCAGGAAAAAGCTTCCATCTGCCTATAAACTATGTATTTCTACACTTACTATGAACTTCCTATTTAGAATTTAGACTGAGATTGGTGCAACATATACCAAGTTACGGCAACACACTGTTTAACAGCAGTATCATTTAAACTACAACACCTATGTAGTTTTATGAAAGGCTGCTGCAAATGGTTTGCCCTGATTTATGCTTGTAGTGAAACGCATTATTAAGAATTAGTGTGATTTATGATCTGTCCTAATACCCGTATTAAGGTTAGCTACAATAAACATGCAGTTTCAAGTTTCAGGAATAATTGAAGCTATTTTCTTCTGGATCTTCTTCAAGGTCTCTCCTCCTGTGATTTCTTCAGCATCTCAAACTACAGCCCTTCCCTCAGCACTTTTCTTAGTATCTGCGCTGCTGCCAGATTTCTGACAGATGAGACCTACACTCTAACAAGCCTAGCTGAAACGAGTCAGCTTCAGAAGCTATTAGCTGGCAGAGAGAGAGAGAGAGGATCACATAATCTTTGCTTCCTTCGCTGAACAAGATATTGAGTTTATGCTGATCTAGAAATAGCATTACTGCAGCAGTCCTGAAGAGCTCTATTTAGCTACAGCAGACCGACCACCACTGCTCTCAACAAACAATGCACCTCATTTGTTCAAGGCTAACTTGGTGTTGCTTTTTTTTTTATCCTGCTGA